TTATTAACTTCAATCAATAGATTGCAGATATCCTAATGTCACTGGAATACGTCATCTCTGCTTGGTTGCCAAGAAGATAATCTGACTCTTGCTTTTATTTTCCCAACCATATCCTTCATTCAGAATCTAGAACTGAAAACCTCTCAAACAACCTCTCAACAACTTCAGCAGAGGGATTTCTGATGTAGAAAGATTTGAGCTACAAGAAAACCAAGGGTCCCTTCTAACAGAAGAGAGCCGTTGTTTGCATGTAAGACCCAAACCACCATTCTCCTGGTATACCCAGTTCATTTTATTCTCCAAGCTTGTATAGAATTGAGAGATGATCCATAGCAGCCTATATAGAAGGCTTTGTGAAAATTAGCAAAAGGCACACCTGTTGGGTAGATTCTTTAGAAAAAGAGACCTCCGTGGGTGATTAAGTAACACCCTGGGGCATGAGGATGGTCACCAACCCTCTACCTCCCCTTTGGCTGGGATCTTCTGTGAAGTCACCAATGCACAGCTCTGGATGGTGGCCACGGATAAAGGGTGAGTTTCCACCCATTAGTGTGAGAATTGTCTGAAGCATCTGAGAGGTATGGTAGGAAAGGAACACGTCCAAATCTCCATTAGCATGGGTCACACATGTTTTGGTACCTACAGGTCTCTTAGAAATAGGTCTTGACTATTTCAGAATACCAATCCTGTTCATGCCAAATCCATAAAGTATGAGTAACGACCCATTTTACTAAGGTGCTAGTATTTGACCTACAAAATGGCAATTTCCTGTTGTTCAACCTAAATGGCTCCTTCTATCACCTGGCCATTTTTTGATGTTCTGATTATAGATGCTACTTGCCTCTTATCCTTACACCTCATGCCTTGATATTCTTTCTCTATATGTAAACCAAGCTGGTATCTTAAGTGCCTTCCATCTCCACCTGACCCTGTTAATGTTAACTCTTGATACTGTTGAAAACGACTTTGATTTGATAATTATTGTTACTGTCAGCCCACTGAGAGGGTGCCAATTTCAGGATACCATAGTAAGTGAAGAATTTTTGTTAAGTGGAAAGTTTGTGTTAGAAGAGTCACCAGCATTGGGGCGCCTGGGTGGCGCAGTCGGTTAAGCGTTCGACTTCAGCCAGGTCACGATCTCGCGGTCCGTGAGTTCGAGCCCCGCGTCGGGCTCTGGGCTGATGGCCCAGAGCCTGGAGTCTGTTTCCGATTCTGTGTCTCCCTCTCTCTCTGCCCCTCCCCCGTTCATGCTCTGTCTCTCTCTGTCCCAAAAATAAATAAACGTTGAAAAAAAAAAATTTTTAAAAAAAGAAGAGTCACCAGCATCATTTGCTAATTATACTTAGAAAAATGAAAATAAGTGGATTAATTGTTGCATAAATATTTTGCAAAATACATATAGTGCTTTTGTAGGTTATAATGCTTAGCTGTGGTTTGGCTGTTTGTATGAGATCAATGAATTCTTGCCTCCTACTAAGGAAGGTTATTCCATTTGCTATTAGAAATGTAACAATGAACTTGGAGAAACTCACTCATGCTCATGTGCTTTGCTACTTTGTTAATTATAGTAAGAGAGGAAGGAAGGAAGGAAGGAAGGAAGGAAGGAAGGAAGGAAGGAAGGAAGTTAAATATCCATCCATAGAGGAATGGGTAAATAAACTGTGGTGTATACCTACCGTAGAGTAGTTAAAATGAAACAATTAGATGTACAGTTATCAGTGTGGTTAGATCTGCAAAACAAAATTTACTAGGGGTAGGGAAACAGACTTCAGAATGATCCATAAAGAATCATATAATTAAATTTAAAAATCATATAATTTTTGTAAATTTTACAAACACATAAAACATTTCTATATGCTGTTTATATATACACAAAAATGGTGAAAATGTAAAAACCAAAATGAGTTGGGTACATGCCCACTCCCGGATTTTGTGTGCTTCTAGGGGAGGAAGAGAGGGACTACTGTTGACAAAGGCATGTCAGCTGCAGCTACAATATTGCAAAATTAGAAATTAATATGGAAATATTTTAATGTTCATTAATTCTGGATGATAAGGACCTAGGTGTTGGTCACACTACTCCTTAATTTTTATATTTGAATATTTAATAATAAAAACCATGTAATGATGATTATCTGTATAAATCTGTTATAACCTAAAAAGATCAATATTACCATAGATTTTCCCTAACAGTGCAGGAGCTGACTGCGAATCTTTCTAATGCCTCTAGATTGTCTCAGCTACTTTGAATTCACGGAGTTACAGTAATCTAAGGTGCTTAGTGAAAAGTATGCTAGTTGAGTGACCTGATTTTTAAAAATAATTAGGGAAAATGGCTAACTAAAAATAGGAACACTGGCTTTTGGCAAAGATACCATTGTATACACTGTGGGAAATAGACGTTGCATATTTGTTTAATAAAGTAGTTGGATTCCAACGTGGGAGCTTATATAGAGAGATAAGTAAAAATAATAATAATAATAATAAAGTAAAATAAACAATTTAAAAAAAGGTCACTGAATACATAATGTTTGTGTCCAGATCGGGAACCGGGATGGTGGAAGGCAGGGAGAAGCCTGGTGGCACAGTCCTGGACCTCTTAGTGTAGCCAACATGAGCATCTTTTACTAGTATGTAAAGGGCTCCACAGATTCCCCAGAGAAATTTAAATTGTTGGTCTCTCTTTGAATCATTAGAAGTCTTCCTTTGTGTGGGGTTTGGTCTGTGCAGCTTTGTGGCTAGCAACCACAACCATCACCACAACAGTAACAAAGTGTGGATAGTCGTACCCTGTTAAATCCCATATCGTATATTCTCTTCTCCCCTCATCCTTTACTCACGGCCCTCTCCACGGTCCGGGTGCACCATTCTCCCAACGTCTCTATATATTCATCAACCTAAAAGCTCTTTGAACTGCATCCTTATGGGGTTTTATAGAAGCTTCGTTATGGAGGCGTGATGCATTCAATCACTGGCCATTCATGACTGGTTCAACCTCCACGTCCTGAATCCTCTCTGGAAGTGGGGGTGGGGCTGAAAGTTCCAACCCTCTAATCACAAGGTTGGCTCCACTGGCGAGCAGCCCCCATCCTTAGGGGCTTTCCAGAATTCACCTCGTTAGCATAAACTCAGGTGTGGTTGAAAGGAGTTAGTTCTGAAGAGTAAGACGTTTTTTACCACTCACTCATTTCATCCTGGAGTTATTTCATTCTACAGGATTTTGAGGACAAAAGATCAAATATTATAACAAAAGTTCTCCCATTGCCCTTATTGCTTAGGAAGTTATAGGAGTTTTAGGAGCTGAGTGCCAAGAAGACCATATATATTTCTCATTATGAATCATAATCTCACATTTGAAATTAGACAGAACTATTACAATATAGCCATTTTATATACCTGTTTCACAGTATCAGGAAAGGAGGATATGCTGTAAGTGTGAGCAATGGGTAAAATTATTCATCCAAATTGCAGCCTTAGAATGACATGGTCTCCATTAATAGGTGTTTATATAGAACATGACTAAATGGAGATAACTAAGACAAGAGAAAAGAATATAAAGATGTAATTTTAAATATAGAAACTATTCATACCTTTTTGTGTTGACAATAGGTGTCGATATCCTGTGTGCCCTACATATACTAAAAAGTATTTTAATACAAATGTTAAAAAAATCAGTTAGTTTTAAAATCCAGTTGAACTTGACTTTATTATTCTCCTTTGGCTAATTGTAATTCTTCTGGAAGTCACTTATTTATATTTCAATATCTTTACCTGTATTATCGAAGGGTATGAGATTACAGGATATAAATATATTTTTGGTGATCTAGTTAAACAATACGTGTTAGTGCAGCAAAGAACAATATGGACCTTTTTCATTTGTTTTGTTTCTGTAATTGTTGTTTGTAAATCTCCTGGAAATAGCCATTTGATGGGAGGTCATATGTCCAGTGGACGTGATACCCAATACCTAGGCTCATGGCTTGGTGAAGTACGTGCAGGCTAGATTTCAGTCCTCATATAACCCTCAAGTGGGCATACTTGCTCAGGACATGACCTACTCAATTGTATGTGGCAACCTGGTTCTTCTCTCCAAAACACATGATGGTTTATAAAACTCTACCCTTGATATTAACACAAGGACTTCACACCTGAGAATTAGAGGGCAGCCATAGTAGGCACACATATTGGATAGCAGTGCATTCATTGATTTTAGCGATTTACGTGAATCTGTACAGAAACAAGTATCAGTAAATAATTAGGGCTATAAAAATGCAGGCAATGAAGATCCTGTAGTTCATATACTGAGCTTGAAGCAAATGTAAACAGCCAGAGTAAGGAATCTGTGCGATGAGTATGTCCCTTGATCCTATTCTGAGACCCACAGTGTAGATCCAGGGCCTGCACACGTGCGTGCGTGCATGTGTGTGCACGCGCGCGTGTGTGTGTGTCTGTGTGTATACCTTTCATTTCAAAACAATTTAAATCCAAATCATATCCTTATTGCTTAGGAAAAATATATGTTTTAATGTTTATTTATTTTTGAGGGAGAGAGAGAGAGAGCACAAGTGGGATAGGGGCAGAGAGAGGGAGAGGGAGACAGAATCTGAAGCAGGCTCCAGGCTCTGAGCTGTTAGCGCAGAGCCTGATGTGGGACTAAAACTCACAAACCGTGAGATCATGACCTGAGCCAAAGTCAGACACTTTAACTGACTGAGCCACCCAGGTGTCCCCAGGAAAAATATTTTTAAAGGGTCCTTTTTGAAACTACTTTTTGAAATTTACCTTGGGGTAAATACATATATAATATTTATAATAACTTATAATTTATAAATATCCTATAAATTCTATGATGAGAAATTTAGCACTTAGGTTTGGGATACTTTATTTCTATATTTAGAAGTGAAGATCAGAATTCAAGGCCCGGTTGGAGGGAAAACCTTCAACAAATCATGGCAAGATTATCTCTTAGTTTTTTTCAAATGACCTTTGAATTCCTCTAGGCCAGGTTTCTGCTGCTCGCTGTAGTCCCCTTTTGGTTGAATCTGTGTCAGTCATCCACCTCAGCGAGTGCTCTTGGAAACAGGAAGCTCACTGTACTTAACGGAGCCTGTGACCTTTTGGGTAGCGTTAGCTATTAGATACAATCATATTCAGGCTAAGATGAAATCTTTTCCCTTGTGATGTCAATCCGTGGACATTGCTTCTACTTCCCAGACAAATCTAGAACAAGACCACTTCTCTCTTCTACGTGGCAATGCTACAAATACATAAAATGGTATAATTTTCCTGTCGCTGAACTGAGAAAATAGTAGACTAGACAATCATAAAACAAACTGAGAAAGGAGAAAAAATCTAAGAAGTAGAGATTATTCCAAGTCATTGTTTTTGTAGACACTTGCACTCCTCTCTGAGAATTCTTATTTGTGATTTAATCACCACATGCTGAGCAAATACACCTTGCTTTCCTATTATGGATGAATAGTAATGCCAGAAGAGCCTTTACAAGGGCAAAAGAACCAATTACCTAACAACCCTGTCTCATATATTGTAGTCTAACATAAAACAACCAGAAAAAAAAAAGCATTTAGGATGATGTTACTTCATACCATATGTTTATATCATGAGATACACATCTTAATTTTTTCCCTTGTTAGACTTCTGTTGTAAATTACAGAATTTGGTACAAGTCTTCAAGGTCATTTGGTATCCGTAAATAGAAGACAGGGGAGGGTATTTTAAAAGTCCATTTTAATTGTAGAAGATGTATCCAAAATACTACCTTTAATTCATGTAAACATTGAAATCTTTTAAGGAGCAGGCCTAGGAAGTTTCCAGAAAACATATATGATTCCCAGAATAGAAGATGTAGCTTAGTAACTTTTGGTATATTGATTATTATAGCACCGTTCAAATTAGGGTTTTAAAAACAACAATAAAGGGGGGGAATATTCATGATGTTGTATATGTCAGTTAGGAATGCTTCCAGTTTCAAGTACCAGAAAACTCAAAATATTAGTGACTTAAATACATAGGACTTTATTTTTTGTACCTCATGAAGTGTGGATATAGGTTTTTGTTGTACTAAATTCTCCAATCAGAAGACATAGAGTGGATAAATGGATAAAAAACAAACAAAACAGGACTCATCTCTATGGTACCTGTAAGAGGCTCACTTCAGATATAAGAACACACACACGCTGAAAGTGAAGGGATGGAAAAAGGTATTTCATACAAATGGAAACCAAAAGAACTGGAGTAGCCATATCTATCTATATCAGACAACATGATTTTGAAACAAAGACTGTATAAGAAACAAAGATAAATGTTACATAATAATAAAGGGGTCAATCCAACCAGAAGATACAACTTTTGTAAACATTTATGCACCCAACTAGGAGCACCAAAATAAATAAAGCAAATATTAATAGACCTGGAGGGAGAAAAATACAACAGTGCAATAATAGTAGGGGACTTTAACACTCCACTTACATCAACGGATAGATCATGCAGACAAGATCAATAAGGAAGCATCAACCTTAAGAGACAAATTAGACCAGATGGGTGTAAGACATGTACAGAGCATTCCATCCAAAAGCAACAGAATATACATTTTTCTCCAGCATATGTGGAACATTTTACAGGATAGATCATATGTTAGGCCAAAAAAACCCACAAACGTTAATAGAATTAACAGGACTGGAAACATATCAAGTATCTTTTTTGGCCATAATAATATGAAACTAGAAATTACTAAGGAAACTGTGAAAGTCACAAATAATGTGGAGATTAAACAATATGCTATGGAACAACCAAGGGTCAAGGAGGCAACTAAGGAAGAAATTAAAAAAAATACCTTGAGATAAATGAAAATGGAAATACAACATGGGATGCAGCAAAAGCAGTTCTAAGAGGGAAGTTCATAGTGATAACTTCCTACCTGGAGAAACAGGAAAAGTCTCAAATAACCTAACTTTACACCTAAAGGAACTAGAAAAAGAACAAAAGAAGCACAAAGTTAGAAGGGAGGAAATAACAGAGATTAGAGCAGAAATTAAATGAAATACAAACTGAAAAGACGATGGAGATGCTCAGTGAAACTAAGAGTTGGTTCTTTGAAAAGAGTAACTGAACTGAGTGATATTTAGCTGGACTCCAAAGAAAAAGAGAGGACTCAAATAAAATCAGAAATGAAAGATGAGATGTTACAGCTGACACCACGGAAATACAAAGTATCTAAAGAGACTATTTTGAATAATTTTATGCCAACAATTTGGAGAACATAGAAGAAAAGGATAAATTTCCAGAAGCATACCAAGACTAAGTTATGATGAAATAGAAAACTTGAACAGATCAATTGCTGGGAAGTAGATTAAATCACTAAACAAAAATCTTCCATCAGACAAAAGTCCAGGACCAGATGGCTTCCCTGGTGAATTCTATCAGATATTCAAAGGAGAATTAATATCAGTCCTTTTTAAATTCTCCCAAAAAGTAGAAGAGGAGGTAACTCTCCTAAACTCACTTTTTGGGGCTAGCATTACCCTGATGACCAAAAGCAGACAAGGATATCACAGACAAAATTACAGGTCAACATCCCTAACAAACATAGATGTAACAATCCTCAACAAAATATCAGCAAACTGACTTCAACAATACATTAAAAGGATCCTACACCATCATCAGGTGGGATTTATTCAGGGATGTCAGGACGTCAGTTAATGTGATGACACTTCTTCAACACAATGAATGGGAAAAATCATATCACTATCTCAGTAGAGATGAAAAAACATTTCACAAAATTCAACATCCATGTATGATAAAAACTCTCAAGAAAGTAGGTATTGAGAATGGACCTGAACGTGATAAGGGCCATATGTAACAGCTGTCAGGAAACATCATACTCAGCAGTGAGAGGCTGAAAGCTTTTCCTCTGAGATCAGGAACATCAAGGATGCCTACTCTCACCACTTTTATTCACAGCAATTAGACAAGAAACAGAAATAAAAGGCATACAGATTGGAAAGGAAGAAGTAAAACTGTCCCTATTTGTGGATGATGCATTAGTATTATATATAGGAAATCCTGAAGACTCCACTAGGACACTGATAGAACTAATAAATGAATTCAATGAAGTTGCAGGATACAAAAATCAATACATAAAAATCAGTTGTGTTCTATACACAACACTATAGAATCACCCATGCTCATGGTGTGCAAGAATATTGCTAAAATGTCCGTAAGACTCTAAGCAATTTACAGATTCAATGCAATCCCTATCAAATTTCCAATGGCATTTTTCACAGAAATAGAGAAGATAATCCTGAAACTTGCATGGAACTACAAAAGACCCTGAAGAGTGACCCTGAAAAGACACTGAGCGTGTAAGCAATCTTGAGAAAGAACAACAAAGCTGAAGGCATCGCTCCCTAATTTCAAACTGTATTATAAAACTAAAGTGATTAAAACTATGGTATTGGTATGAAAAATAGACAATATAGATCACTGGAACACGACAGCCGAGAAATAAATGCACACATAGAGATTTATGACAAAGCAGCTAAGAAACTACAAAGGGGAAAGGACAGGATAGTCTCCAATAAATTGTGTTGGGAAAACTGGAAAACCACATGGAAAAGAATAAAACTACCATAAACAAAAACTGACCCCAAATGGATTAAAGACTTGAACGTAAGACCTGAAACCATAATATTTTCTTGGAAGAAAATATTGGTGGTAAGCTTCTTGACATAGGTCTTGGAGATGATTTTTTTGAATCTGACATCAAAAGAAAAAGCAACAAAAGCAAAAATAAACAAGTAGGATTATATTAAACTAAACTTCCTGAACAGCAAAGGAAACCATCCACAAAGTGAAAAGGCAACATACTGAATGGAAGAAAATATTTGCAAGTCATTTATCTGATAAGGGGCTAATATCCAAAATATCTAAAGGATTCATACAACTCAACAGCAAAATAAACACACAAGCAAACAAAAAAAATAATCTAATTAAACACCAGGCAAAAGATCTGAAGAGACATTTTTCCTAACAAGATACAGATAGTCAATAGTTACATGAAAAAACGTTCAACGTCGTTAGTCTTCTGGGAAATGCAAATCAAAACCACAAAAAGATATCACTTCACATCTGCCAGAATGGCTGGTATCAAAAAGACAAGATTTAAAGAGTGTTAGCAAAGATGTGGAGAAAAGAGAACCCTCGTACACGATTGGTGGGAATGTGAATTGGTGCAGCCAGTATGGACAACTGTATGAAGGTTCCTTAAAAAATTCAAAGTAGAACTACCATAAGATCCGGCAATGCCACTTCTGGGTATTTATCTGAGGAAAACAAAAATGCTAACTCAAAATAGTATGTGCATGTTTATGTTCATTTCAGCATTGTTTACAAAAGCCAAGATAGGAAAGTAACCCGTGTCCATTGATGGATGAATAGGTAGAGAGGTTGTGGTATACTTTTTAGCCATAACAAAGAATGAAATCTTGTCATTTGCAACAACATGGATGGACCTCAAGGGCATTATGCTAAATGAAATAGGTCAGACAGAGAAAGACAAATATCATATGATCTCTCTTGTATGTAGAATCTAAAGCATCCCCCCCCCAAAGAAAACAATAACAAAAAATGAAGTTTATAGATACAGAGAATAGATTAGTGGTTGCCAGAGCAGGGGGGGTGGGGGGCGTTGCAGAGAAGTGGGTGAAGGGGGTGAACAACAAAACAACAACAACAATTAAAAAAAAGAGTATTACTGCAAACAATTGGTGAGCCTAATGGTAACCACAAAGCAAAAACCAGTGTAAATACACAACAGAGAAAGAAGAGAATCGAAGCATACCACAAAATAAAGCAGAGGAGGAGAAAGAAACAGCCAGAAAACATATAACAAAATGACAATAAGTACATCCATCCTTACGTGCTTTATCCACGTTTACTTTAAATATAATACTGGTGGTAGTTTTGCTATTCAGAGATGTTATAAAATTTCCAGGCATTTTCCAATCCTTTAGTTCTGCCATATCCAGAAAAGCTGTCTCAAGCTCTCAAAATGACGACGGTAGCTCTAGGTACCACAAGTAAACTCCAAGGCAGGAATGAGGAGGAAGAGAAGGTAGAAGGCACAGTGGCTTGGAAGGGAAGAGTGTTTCTCTTTTCATAACGCTTCTTAATGGAAAGGAAAACATCTGACTGGATAGCTTCAAAACTGACTTAACCAAATGTCTCACCGGACAGAACGTACTAACCTGGCCGCATGATGACAAGTGGGGGGAAAAAAAAGCCAGTTTCACTGTTTTATGATTATTCATGATTGTTTAATATGGGAATGGCAAGAAGTTTCAAAAGCTAGTTTACACTTATTACCAGTAACTGAGAAGGTCGAATGATGAGTAATATGTTTAATTCTTCTCTGGTTTCCTAATGCTTTGTAATATGGCTCAGTTAGTTTGATCATAAACATGCTTTTGTAATAAAAAGAAATTCATCTGAACTAAGAGTAATCAGACTTTTGCAGAAAGACTCACTGATGTATCCAGCACCGCATCTCACTTCCCATCTCTGCACTTAACCAAAGCAGGGAAAGAAGTGGAGAAGTCCTGCTGGTATCTTTATGGTCATTCTTTTAAGCAGATTGTGTACAATGTGACAGTGAGCATCTTCTCCAGTGTCTCCTGATTCAAGACATGATTAAATTGATTAATTTTAAAATCTATACTACAAATCATTTTTAAAACATAAAATATACTTAGCACTGACTTGGAAACCTGTGATTAGTTTCCCCTGGTTTCATGACCTCCTTCTTGGTTCTCCTTCTTCCTTACTGGCCACTCTTTCTCCCTCTTGTTTGATGGTTTCTCTAACCTTTAAATGTTGATATCTCCTGTACTTAGTATTCAGACCTCATCTTTGCTCCATTTATACTCACTTCCTAAATGATCTAATTCCTTCCAAGTCCATATTTATATCTTCGGCATTGATATCATCCTTAAACTTCAGACTCATTTATTCAACTGCCTACTTCCATCTCTGGGATGCGTAATAGGCTTCTTAAATTTAGCGTATGTAAGACCAAACTCTTGAAATCTCTCAAATCTGCAGGGCTCCTTTTTTTCCCATCTCATAAAATGTACTTCTACCCTTCTAGTTTCTAACAAAACCGCTGGCATCATTTCTTGATTCCTTTTTTTCCTTTCCCGTTGCAATTGAATCCACTGGTGAATGCTTTCAGTTACTCCTTCTAAAGATGCCAGGTCTGGCCACTTCTCACCATCTCCATTGCTACCACCCTGGTAGAATCACCTCTTTTTAGATGGATTCTTGGGATAGCCTCTGACTTGTCTTCTCAGTCTGGCCCATGTTCTCCTACAGTCTATTCTAAACAAAATAGCCAGAGTGGGCCTTTCATTATAGAAGTCAGGGTAGTAACCTCTTGACTTGAACCCAAGCCATCTCATTACACTCAACAAAATCTAGAGCCCTTACCAAGTCTTAGTATCCTTGAATGATCTGGAAGGCTCTCCCACACTGCCTCTGTGACCTCATCTCCACCAAGGTTCCCTTTGATCACTATGTTCCATCCCTATGGACTGTATTTGCTATTCCACAAACATACCAAGCATGCTCCCATCTTCATGCCTTTGAATGTGTTCTTTCTTCTTCCTGGAGATACTTCCTTTATGTATCTACATGGATCACCCCTCATTTCCCTAAGGTGTCTCTTCAAATGTTACTTTATCAGGGAAGATTTTCCTGATAATGCTAATTACACTAATGAAAAAAGTTCTTCCTCACCATTACTAATTTTCCCACTTTGCTGTATTTTGCTTTCATAGCATTTGTTTCCATCTGACTCAAATTTCCTCCCACCTTCTCTGCCTGCCTTCCTTCCTTCCTTCCTCCCTCCCTTACTCCCTTCCTTCCTTCTCTCCTTCCTTCCATCCCTCCATCTGTGATTCATAAGGTTAAAATTGTATGTAGTGTTTTAAATCCTTCATTACAGTCATTAAGTTCTAGTCTATGTTGACACGTATTTCTATGCCTATAATTTATTGAACCACCATATGTCTGAGCTGGAAAGGTCTTGAACATAAACTCCCTCACTTTCTATATAAGATACGTCAGGCCCAGAAAGGGGAGATGACTTGGGTACAATCACACAGCTTATTACTGAGAGAGCTAGAATCCAATTCTAAGATATCTGGCATGTAGACCATGTTCATTTAAAGTGTAAATTGTCCACTGGATATGTTAAACTCCATATTGATACCTCTTCATGACTTATGTCTAAAAGGTGCTTCACCTGAAATCTAAACACCAATAGAAATTAGTTTCCTTATGAAAAAACAGTTTTCTCTGTTGACAGTTAGGTGGCCACCATAGTGTCAAAACAGCAGAACTCAGACGTACTGATACCATTCACGGAGGGATGAAATGTGAGTGTGTGTGTGTGTGTGTGTGTGTGTGTGTGTGCATATGCCTTAGATAATATTCCCATAGGAAAAAAAATACACACTCTCATGTTTGAGGAGAGGATATACAACAAGACAGACCATTTCTTTATGGAGTTTACAGTTTAGTGTCTGTTTGTGGTTTTGTGCATACAGGGCTTGGGTGTGAGGACTAACAAATCATAAATAAATTAATATGTTGAAATATCATTAACAGTGGTAATACTCAGTCCTACAGGAAAAAAAAAAAGCTACAATGATAGAAAATAATAGTGAGTCCCCGTCACTAGGGTATTGTGCAACCACAAGACAGAATAGTGTAGAGGAGGATGAAAGGATTATAGATTGGGCATTAGATTATATATTGGCTTTCATAATCCCCCCAAACTTTGAGCTTCTACAGTCCTGTGCACTGAGCTAATTATTGAAAGTCTCTCTAGGAATTATAGAAAACCACAAAAATCAAAGGGGTTATTATCTAGGATGGAATCTTCCCACACCTTAGAAATTGAGTATGTTCTCATCTACAAAGGGGATACCACCTTCCCAAATTGGGGCTAGGGTATATAATCAGGATCTCCTTCCATTAGGACATTTTTTGTGTAACATGTACTACCTAGTGATTTGGTTTAAAGTGGAGGTTCCAGGCTCCCATAGTTTGGAGATTCTAATTTAACAGACCTGAGGAGAGGCCTGGAGAAACTGCAACCTTAATAAGCAAACAAGAAAACCCAGTGGAGGTGGACCAGGACTGTACTTGGAGAAGCACTTGACTTGGTGACAAGGAACCCCTATTGAGATCCTAGCTCTACTCCCTCTGCCTGTCATCTGCTGAGATTAGGACTATTGTAGCCCTAAGGATATTTTAACTTGCTGTGGAACGTTGTTAGGTTATTCAGCCTTTCTGAGCCAAAGTCCCAACATCTATAATGACACAGTAAGATGCTGTTGTGAGGGCCAGAAATTTAAAATGCAAAATGCTGACCTGAGCGCCTGGCACATCACAGCTGCTTACTAAACAGTAGCTATTCTCCGCTTTATTTCTGCCTGTCTAGGTTATTTGGCTGCCTCCTTTCTAGTCCTGTTTTCCAATGCAGAGGCAACATTCACCTTTGGTTGAACAACAAGTTGGTGTTGGTTTGTCCATTTTTGCCATTGTTCCTGGGCCTTCACCTCCCCTACAAATTCTCAGTCCAGTCTCGATCAGTATCACCTTAATTACAGTTTTGCACTCTCTCTGCCTTATTATAAAGACACTAGAATAAAAACACTAATATTACAGCCATGGAATATCTGTAACTATCAAATTAGTTTATTCTTGTGTTTCCTGCTATTTAACTTACAATTATCTCTTGCAAAACCACTCATCTTTTCTGTTTAATCTAACATGAGTACTGCGAAGCAGAGAAGATTATGCAGTGGACAGATGAGGTTCTGGAAAATGCTACCAAATTATGAAAAACATTTGAATTGCATTAGCTTCCACAGAATGTAAGCAAAGCATAAATGGGGAGAGAAAAGTCAGTCCATTCTGCGGCACTGTGCACACTAATTTATATAGGTTGTCTTCAAGTCAAATTTTAAAAATCAAATTTAAGTGTAAAAATATAATACATTTTGGTTGAATTAATCACTTTTTAAAAGTATGTTTGAACTAAAGATCCTGTTCCAGTCTGTTTGAAATTAAAAGGCAATATTCTTTGAGTTAACCATAATTGCATGGAAATCTAGGTTGTGCTAGAGGATAACCAGGGGACACGTTAATTAAATAATTAAATATTTCGGGAATCTGGGTATTCATAGAACATGGCTGGTTTCATTTGCTAGGTTCCATGTAATCTGCCTTTCAGTAGGACAAATAAGATACCAAAATAAATAAGTCTGTTAGAGCAAAAATATTGTCGCGTGGTCTTAGTCTTTAAATAAACTGCTAAGAAAACTTTTACGAAGGTATAAAATTTAAACCACAGTTAGTTACATACTTGGTAAGTTACATTTATTTAAGAGAATAATATTATACTAAATGAGACCTGGGCCAGAAAATCCAGGCCCTACGATTGCCAAGGCACAAAACCTTCCCTGCCCTTTTTCATCTAACTCTGACTTCCCGTTCCTCTGGGGGAGTTGCATTGTAGTATCATCCAGTCGTGTATGTTGGAACGGGGGAAACCGTAAAGTGAACACTAAGCTTTCTCTTCCCCTGCTCTTTGCAAAAGCAGGAAAAAAAAAAAAAAACTGGTCTTTCCCAGGAGGGCTCACCCATGGTTCATATTTAATTTAGGGGAGGGAATTAGGGTGGGACAGGAATTATAAATATGCAAATGAAGGGATACAGCTATGCAAATGAAGAGATATTTACATCCTACCTACTTCTCTTCACTAGGCCCACTAAGGTAGTGGCCAAGATGTAGCATCCTGGATCAGAAAATTACAAAGTAGCTTCTTAATGACCCTAAATAATCCCTAACGAGTCCAAAATGCTTGATTCGTGCTGTTCATACGGTAGTTTTCTTTACTAAGAAGTGCCTCATAATTTTTTCATTTTGTATTTTGGAGAAAGGGCATTGTTTAACATTATTTAACCTGTTTCTACTTAATTGATTTTCTAATAGAAAATAAAGTTTTCTATTTCTGCTTAACAAAGACTTTATTAAAAGTAACATGT